AAGACTTGCTCTGACCCGATCCTGTGCTTAATCCACCGTTCATGGTTCTTGATTGAACGGAACGTCTTCCTACTATTACACAGATCACACAAATAAGCAGGTTGCTGACCCGGGAGGAGCCATTCTTCATAATACAATCCCACACGTCGGCGCTGACTGCCTTGCATCCTTCGTTATTTGATTATAGCCGAGTATCAAAAATGAAATCACGCAAGAGGATTATACGGCAATATCAAGTTCAATACAAGACCGTAGGGAGGAAGATGTGGGAAAAGAAGCAAGTACTGGCAAAAATACGGGCTAGAATAGCAAAATTAAAGAAGCGCAGGTGAGTTCTTTTGTTGGAAAATATCAAATTATCTTGTTCAGGGCAAAATTCTTGCTGGTGCAGTTGGGTGGATCAAAGTGGGTGGATCGAAGTGGATGGCGAATCCCAGGATTGTTCCTGGTGGGTATAAATAGACCTGGCTGACGAGCCTTTTTGATCAAACCACCGAATGCATACCTGGCAACCGACTTAATATAGGTCGTATAGAGCTACCATCCAAGACGACCAGATGAACAACCCCAATCCCCACTACCACTACCACCAAACGGCCAACTACACGACCCCCAGCCGGAATCCCCCTCAACCCCGCAACAGCGGTACCCCAAGTGGCCGGCATGTCCCTCCAAACGCCACAGGTGGCAATCCATTAGGACCTCACAGAGTCACCCCGACCGATCGTAAGTAACACTACGTTACCTTAGCAACCACCAATGACTAACACCATGGGTCTTCCAGACCGGTTCCACCCCCATAACCATCAGATGTCCCCACCTGGGAACGACAACCAAGGATCCCCTCGTAGGCCCGCAACCGATGGACGGATGCCTCGCACCCAAGAAGGCCCCGACCTTGGCGACTATAACGATGGTACCGACCTCTCCGATCTCATGGATACAGGACTACTCCCAGCGCTCGAGGGGGAGGGCCCAAGGGGCGCTGGAGCATACGAGGACCCGCCCCTTCCGCCGCCGTTAGAACTAGGACAAGGTGATGTCCCACCGTTGCAGCTTAACATGCCCCAGCAAAGACCGGAACAGCAGGTGCCCCCGGATCTCCAACCCCAACCGCCTGTCCAAACCACCGAAGCGGAGGTCATGCGTCGGTTCATGGATGTGAGTTTGAGGACACGTCTCAAATTCACCAGGCGACCCAACCAAACCTAACCAAACCCTCCTTCCCATTCCCAGAGCCCCGATGGGATGGCCACCATCCTCGGAGCCCTCATCCAGCGAGGAGGAGCAGCGTCCAATCCCGTGGCCATCACTAGCCGCCACATCTATGGGCCAGTAGTCAGAGTAAGCCGATGTCTCTTAATCATCAGCGTGAGCAAGAGACTGATGACACAACCAACCTCCCTGGCCGACCAATCGACCAGGAGTATCTCCGAATCGAGATCCGCCGGATCATGAAGCGGCATACTCTTGCCGCGTACAGCAAGAGTTACTCCCAGAACGGCGAGCGCTTAACTAACGGGCCCTTCCCATTAATTAGGGTGAGGACGCTCCCCACCTACACACAATATCTATCCACCCGAACCGACCCCCTTCCACCTCTTTCCCCATTCCCCCAGGCCCAAGTTCTAGCCCAGCCCGCCGCGTGGCGCCACCTCCACCTGCCAGCTGGTCTTGCCAGCAATACCAACGATGCCATCCAAAATCTTGACCAGTTCCTGCGAACCATGGTTAAACACGAGCGCACTACCCTTCGAAACTTGGTAAGCAGCTATATCTATCAATCAACCCCCTGTAGGTCTGTCGCAAAACTGACCACAACCGGCATTAGCTGCTCATTCAAGTTCGACCAGACCCCCGCAAACGAGCGCCGGGTCCTATACCTCGCCTGTTCGACCTCCTGGTTCTCATTGAGCAAGGGCTGACCCCTCGGCACGAGACACGCACACGAGATCAGGTGGCCGAATGGGCCACCCGACCGGTTAGGCTCCGATTTGCTTTGTTGCGCCTGCTCGCTGTTCATCACTACATTAATCGACCCCCTGGCCAAACCCTATCCCAATGGGAAATAATCGATCGGCATCTCGAGATGCTCGCAGGACCGCTCAGCCCGGTGGAGCTACAAGCGTAAGTCTGCCTGTTTATAATATAAAACATTATAGCGACCACTTATTGAGGTCGGTCGATCATAGGCATATAGAGCTCATCATCCAAAAGGACAGCGAGTACTTTGATGGCATCAAACGCATCGAGGACATTCCACCTGCGACGTTCCATCTTCCTACTGACGCAGAGATATCCCAAGAGATCGCCAGATTGAACCGATCCCCAGTGGTTACCCAGGAGGCCGCACCCCCAGGCGCATAGTGCCCAAGAGTAGTGTTTTTTGATTACATCCATCTCCTTCCTTGTCCGATCTCATGTCGTTTACGCAACTCAGTCCGTCTTATATATACAACCACATACACGCAAGATGATAGATACATACACACAGTTATTTTTATTCAATTCCACCTTGTTCCATCCAATGTGAATGCCAACTTGTATATAGCATGGTCACTCCGACTGCCCGATGTCTCCACCTACAGCTCCCAACGAGCAACCAATCCATATGCTAGTAAAACCAATATAAAACCAATCCCACAAGGACGATTCCGGGTCATTCAGGGTGGGGAAATCCGCCCGATGAGACCCCGAGAGCCCATCCGGCCAAACTATGAAAGGTCGGATACTAGGCCATCCAATCACCCAGGCCCGGACCGCGGATCGATCCGGAGCCAGCAAATCGGCCCAAATCTGCCTACCACAGTTCTTGACAGGGAGCGGTGGCCCGACGGCGGCCTGCAATCGGGCCGCCCGTCCCGACTGTTCAACTCTCCAATCCATAGTCGCACGAGTCTCACGTGCGTCGGCGGCCAGACCGTGGGCCGCCACCCAAAGGCCAGCACCCTGACCGACTCAGGCCAGCCGCAGGGCAGCGCGCCGACCGAATCACCCAAGAATCCATAATCCCAGGGTGTTTCAGCACCCTGAGACAATGATCTGGAGTCAGCGCCTTGCCGACGGGCGACCGCTTGCCCGCCGGGCAGATGTGCGTCGGTTCGTTGACCACCCCGACCCTATGGCTGCAAACCTGCCTAACTGACGTCGGATTTCAGCAAGGTTTAGCAGGGTCGGGGCTGGTCGGTTTGCCCGGCAAACACCTCGCCGGGCTGCGGTCGAGCTGCAGTGGTGGTGTACCTCGCTCCGTCTTTTGATATTATCGCCGCAGTCTACAATCCAGTCTCGTGTCGAACGCCGTGCCGAGGTTGGGCGACATTCTCTTCAGAAAGTGGGTTTCATGAACGTGTCCATCTCCGAAGCTGTGAGGGCACCACTTTTGCCTCTTACCGGCAGCGCAGCCGAGGTGGGGAAAGTCCACGGCGCGGCGGTAACGTAGCCGGACGGGAGTGAGACGCAGCACGCAGTAGATGCCGAACCACAGAGGACAGGAGGTGGAGAACGATCACCACCGACACGCCGCGGAACCCAAGGAAGTAAAGAAGGAATTTTTCATCCCATCCGCCCGCCCGACGGGCTTAGAATCCCATACTTGGCTAGCTCGGGGAGGAAGAAGATTCCTCTCGGGCGAGCCTAGGCAAACCAGGAGGGAGTATCCCCAGAGTTCGGCCGAAAAAGTAAGAGGAAATTTTCTCAGGACGAGCTGACCTCGTAAAGCGGGAAGCCCGCCCCGACCCGTGCTGAGTCTGCCGCAAGAGTGGATAATGAGAATTTTACGCCTTGTCGTATTCTTAGATTGCGGATCGGCAACACGGAAGTCGTTCCGGAAGAGCATTTATTCCGGTACACCCAAATCTAGGTCGACAACTGTCCAAGCCATTAGTACTTCCTTTCCGAGCGCTCACTCAAGTTAGAAGACAACAGTAATTTCTTCTGCTGATGAGGAAGGAAAGAGCCTGAGCAATCGGACTTGTCAACTTCCGCGCGAAACCCGCCGGCGCAACAGTGTCTACACACCCGGACGAATCGGAATAAGTTGGTTCGCCCGCGAGGCGCACCAGCACTACAGGCGACCCCATGCCGCAATACAGCAAATTAGTTGCGCAACCGGCGGGTGCGTGATTGCAGCGGCCTGTACACCCTCTGGGGGCGTTGCCGGCCAAGTGTATGCAACAGTTACGTGTTGGGTGCAAGCTGGGGTCGTAATGGCCTGGGTTCGCCCCAGGCCGTCCTGGTGCAACGCACCCAGGCCATACCAGCACCCGAGACGGACTGCGACCTGCAATTGTAACCGCCCGGGGTCGCTATGCTGACTCGAGACCGGGCTCGCCATCAGTCCGCCGATAGTCGGCACTGGTCGCTCGATCGATCAACCTCTTTCCTTTCCCAACACCCACCTGAAAAGATGTCTTTTTAGGTGGGTGTTCGAGAAAATAATCGATCTCATTTTTTTTTTTTTTTTTTTTGACTTGACTTTGGATGTTTTTTTTTCGAATGCGGATGAACAACTGGCTGGGGGGAGATGAACATACTCACGATCCTCCCACTCCTCCACCGGTGTTCTGTATCACTTGGTTATGTGGTCTCTTGGGGTTCAGCGGTGTAGAATATCGCTGGGTTCGAGCCCGGCATCGCCCAGCTTTTTGGATCTCCCCGACCTGGCTGTGTGTCCTGTCGAGCCACAGGGCTGCACCCGAGGCGTCGGACCCGATCCGGTGTGTATCCACGGATCAATTTTCTCAGATGCTGCAAGCAGCAGTGGGACTTGAAGATGAGAAAAAAAAGCAATATGTACGCCGGGACTCGATTGTGCTATCGCACTTCCTGAGGCATTCAACAAATATGAAGAACTGGGCATGGAACTTGAACCCCAACTTTTGGCTGACGGGTCTCACTTCTCTAATTGGGAGGCAGCCCTTGAGTACGCGGTGACGACCGAGTTCAAGGTGAAAGATCACTTTGTGCAACCTGAGCTGGGTCAAAGTGGTGATCGAGCAGATCTCACAGGCGTATTTATTGAGCACAGTATCCATATATCCTTGCTTTGGTCGGTCCGAGGAAAAAATGGCCGGATGGCCTTCAAAGTCTTGCAAGCGCGCTTCGCACCGACCGGTGTCGTGGACTTGTATCATGTCCAGGTGGCTAAAGGCTACTGAACCCTCTGACCATAATGGTGATATGATCACAGCATTTCAAGAGGCCGAAACACGTCTGGACAAGATCGAGAAGAGGACGGGCAAGCTGACCAAAGACACCGGTCTGGCGCTGGTAGTGGTACTCCTCCGACGATTCCAGGCTCACTTTCAGCAAATATCAAAGCGCTGACTGCTCTTGAGTTTCCATGTCATTTTGAGGCAAGTGCAAGGACGGTGAGCTGTCAATATTTGCATCTAGGACGGATGAGGGCAATCATGTGCTGTTCGAGCTTGGGAGCCACGAGATGCGTGACAAATAACGTAAGTGCTTTTTACATTGCTGCATTCTATTCCGTGAATCTCATCTTCTCTTCAACACAATCTCTTTTTCGTTTCAGCAGGTCGGTTTCCCGTGAAGGAAGTTGGGGACCATCCACTTCCTGCGTCGGGGGACCGTTTGCAAGGTGAAAGTGCCAGGTGATGATGGGCAAGCACTTTCTTTGGAAAGAGCTCGCAATCAATTTTAGGGAGGTTTTTTACGACCTTATTTCTTTTTTTGGGCGGGATCCAGAGTTTTGTGAAATTAGTTCAGTTGGTTTTGATATAAAACAACCGATCTCAAGTCAGTTAGAACGCCACTTCAACTTGAGCAATTAGCATGTCTCTAGTGAATAGTTTGTGACTGAAGTCCAATCAAGGTGGAATTGAAAGAAATACATGTTGTTTCCTAATCTCTCAGTCCTTTATCTTTCCATGCAACATAGAATGTCAGGGCAAGAAGTGAATTGATAAGTTTCAGAAGGAATCAGAGCTCACTTCAGTCATGACTTGGAGAAAGCTTGGAAGATATGACCAGTCTTGACCTGTGTTTGGGTAAACAGCCCAGTTAATGAATACCTAAAGATTTCCTTTGAAAACACGTGGGTAGGTGCTATAGCTGTCAAATGCATGCTCTAGGATAAAAGCGTCTGAAAGGTGATACAATGAGGTTTTCGGCTCCAATTGTCTCAAGTCACTTCATCCTCAAATGCACTTTCTCAGAAGATACTTTTTGAGCGAGGAAAGTAAGACTTTTCACTGATATCAGGTGAGAAATCACGGAGAGGAAAAAATGAATCAGACCGGTAACATACCTGAGGCTGAGTCGCTTTGCTTTTGAGTTTACCCCTCCTGCAGTATGTATCAAGCTCAGCACTACCTCAGGCATAGATATGAAAATCTACCGACTCCCGACGCTGCTTGACTCAGGCTCAGCAGTTATTGAGGGCATTTAAACAGGCCAGCGGGTTCAATCATACCATCCTGTACCATCAAGCAAATACCGGCAACTGCAAGCGAACCTCTCCCACATCCCACCTGTTCTCACTTATCATACACCCCGAACGCCTACATTGCCAAAAAAAACATAAAAAATGGAACATGTGCAGAGTTCTGCAGAGTTAGTTGTCGCTGCAGAATTACCGGGTGGCCCTTATACACCTCCCGGAACCCCTCCGCCTCTCGGTTATCCAACACTGCGCACAGACGCCATGCCTTCCTCGGATGATCTCCGAACAAATGATAACCCACAAATCCCAGAAGATCCCAGCCTCGATGGTGAACCCATGGAGGATTCAACTAGCCTTGATGGCGAACCAATAGAAGAGGAACGCAACATCGACCCACCTGAGGATGTTCACAACTTAGATGGCGAGCCAATGGAAGAAGACCTCAGTGACCAAGACGAACGCACTCTCGATGGCGAACCAATAGAAGAGGACGCCACCTTAGATGACCAGCCGAGGCAAGAAGGCTACAACGAAGAAGAAACCCAACAACTTCGAGAACTCCTCCATAATTTCCAGAACTCCAGTGAACGTTATGTGTTTATTCCAATGGATGCCCGCAGAATTCTCCTTTCAGGGGAGAAACACTACGGCACGAGTAGCCAGGCAGAAGAAGTTGAAGCTGCACTTGACAGTCTCACTCCTCAAGACCAAGCTATCATCGAAGATTATATTGAAAAGATGGGTCGTGCCTATCTCGATTTGGCCAGGGATCCCCGGCGAGACAAGTTTGACTCTGACGAGATTTCGTTTTACTTCCGTCATGGAGCTGTAGTTGACCTTATCTTAGAGCAGATGGAGGATTCCGCTTACACGCTCTTGGAGCCTTTGATACGTCACTGGGAGGCTCTTGTTCACGACCTGAATGATGCTCGGGCTGTTACCTTTAGAAAGCGAAAGGTGCAAGAGCTTCTGGACATGCTGATCAATTTCACCCCTGCGGAATTGGCATTGATGCCCCCAGATGGCCCAGCGTATGATTTCCAAAGCAAACACAGAGCACCTTCAAAATGTTCGGTTTGTCTTGACGACTTCTCTGAGAGCGAACTGTTGGCCGTTGAGTTGCCCTGCCACCCCATGCATATCTTTCATCGCGTCTGCGTTTCAGTGAGCTTTTTCATCTTTACCTCGTTTGCATAAAATTTAACTGATGTTCAAATTTATGTCGCATACAGGGCTGGCTAGAAGAACACCTCCAATGCCCTCTGTGCAGATACCGTTTGCGACTTCCGTTGGAATACCTCACCCTGACTAGCACACTTTGATCTTTTGCCACTTTATATACTGACTTTGCAATTTCCCAACCTCTTGTATGAAATATACTTCTAATTTGCCTTGATCATTCATTTTTAAAAATATATGCAATTCTAACACAGACCACACAAACAACAGACCGAATTCCCTTAAGTTTCTCCACTGCCTGTTGGGGAATCTTCAAGCACCAAGATCATCTGATTTTTAAGACTCCCACCAGCCTTTGGCGGTCCCCTTGTGTCCATTTAGCTCACGCGACTACAATGTTCACTCACTTATACCTGCCGAAAGCCCCCGTAAAATGATGCTCGTGCGGCTAATTCCAGTATCCTACCCTGCTGTCTTACAAAAGAAATTGAGACATTTTGACAGAGCATGATGATCATTTACCGTGATTTTGGCCCCTTCCTGAGCCTTCATGTGTTTTGAAAACCACCCTTGCTGTACACAGAGCACTAGAGGTAACCTCCTTCGATGGGCTTCAGTTTGTTGCAATCAGATTCTTGGACTTGTGCTTTCATATGATGTGCCCATCTATTTCCAACATGAATGGTTCAGCTGTTGCCACTTCAAGAAAAAGTATATTCTACGCTCCCAAAGCAGGTGTATCATGTGAAAAAAAACAGGACAATTTTTGCAGGTCTTGTAAATATTTAAAATTTGCTGCCAACTGGCTATTGAGAACCAGGCTATTTCCAGGGCCACAAATTCTGGGCTCAGTTGCTGCGGAAGCTCCAGTGTGCTTGGTGTGCTGCCGCAACTGTAACACAGAAATGGGATAGCTCAGACTTCACCTGATGTTGAGGCAAGCCATGTTGATCTGCTACATCTTCCTGGGTCCCAGTTTCAGAATCTGATATGCTGCAGAAAAACTCCAAACAAGGCCCAGCCTAGGGCCCCAATCCAAAGGCCATACAGAATGGTCACACTTATTACAACTCAAGTCATCAGTCATCATGCAATACAATCTTCTACGGTGTGGAACCACTCATCAAGTGAGTAAAGAGCTTGGAGGGGATAAATAATTAATAAAACTATGAAATATTAATATTATCAAATGGGTGTGGGTGAGACTGCCCTCCTTGTCCATTTTTAAAGGTTGAAAAATTGGTGGTATTATTCATTTTACCCAAAGATCAATGCTTTAATCTTAATATATGAGCTTACCCCGCTTCTTACATAATTTGTACCGCATACTAATTTTATTTGTATTCAAAATGAATTACACCATCAATTTTCAAACCTTTGAAAATGTAGGAAATCAATTTAAAATTCCAAACATAAGGCAAATTAAGCCTGTAAGAATTAATTAAAGGGCCTTAATAAAAAGATGCAGTTTTTCCGTGTTTTGACGCGGTTTCTGCTGCACGTAGCACACACGGTTTCTGCGTTTAGACGCGTTTTTTTAGGGCCTTAATAAAAAAACGTGGTTTTTCCGCCTTTTGACGCGGTTTTGCAGCTGCGCAGCGGACGCGGTTTCCGCGTTTGGACGTGTTTTTTTAATTAAATTTCACACCTTGTTTCTCATTATTTTTTGAATTTTTAAAGTTGATTCCTATGTTTTAAAGTGCGTAGAATTAAATGGTAAAAATCATTTTCCATAAAACTCAAAGGTTCATTCTCAACATTGCAATTAGACAATTTTTTTGATTAATTTTTGACAGCTTAATTTTCATTATTTTTTGACATTTTGAATTTTTTTCCTACACTTTCAGACATGTAGAAAATTATGGTAAAATCCATTTTGCATCAAAATGAAAACTTTTTCTTGGATATTGCATTCAACATGTTTTTTTTAATTAATTCTTACAGGCTTATGATTCACACAGCACATGGGGATTCCACATTTAGACACAGTGTTAAGCTCAAAAGTGTTTGTGAGAACCTTTTGCTGAGTTTGGAAAGGGATGTGTGAGGTAACCTCTGCCTTTCCTGTGTACTACACTAAACAAGACCACCAATCTTAGATTGGCAGCTTTTAATTAGTGATAGTGGAGTGTATCAAAAGATACTCTGTTGTTTAACAGGTGGACAGGTGCAAAAATGGGTTGTTGTTATGTGTAGAGATGTTGTAATATTTGTGTGTAAGGGTTGTTATAATTGTAAAACCAAAATATTGGGGAACAAATAATATTATGGAGTGAGCAGTGATATGACTGTTATGTGGGGAAATGTCTGCAGGAAGTCTGCTGGGGAGCAATTACAACTGGGAGGAAGGGCCTCCTTATATAGACAACAATGAGGTATTTTGGCTCCAGGGGAGCCAGGAATGAGGGATTTTGGCTGGTTGTACAGCCTTACATGAGGGAATTTGGCCAAGATGGAAGAATACATGAGGGGTTTTGGCTGGTGGTACAGCCTACATGATGTGATTGGAGAAGTTGAGTGGTTTCCGTCGGATTGACAAGCTGTGCAACAGTTGCTATGCAACCTAGCAACCTGCAGGCTGTGTTTTGTAAGCCGCATGATGTCATCCTGTATTTGAGGCTGTACGCTTCGCATGACAGGTTGCCAAGGTAACCTGTACGCTGTGCCTGCATACTTCCATTGTACTTGATTGAGATGTACAGATGCCAGATCACATGGCCCGGAGGGGTGACATGTGTACCTGATACCCTTGTAACATGTAAGGGTGCTTGACCCCCCTACCTGTGAGTGAAAGAGGGGAGTAACATGTAACACAGGGGGGTTACATGTGTCCAAGCCTGCTCCTCTAGGGTAATTTTGGCCCTGGAATCCCTTCCTGGAGCCATATTTGGTGTAATATTATTGTATATACAAGAAAATATAAAATTTTTGAAGTTGTTGGATGGGAACCCATAAAGTATCCCACAACGGTTTTTTGATTAATTTTTGGGCATTAATAAAAAAGGCGGTTTTGCTGCGGCACAGCGCACACGTTCTCCGCGTTGAGACACAGTTCATACTATATGCTTATTACGCTATAAACGCATTCGCGTTGACGCGCTTTTGCTGCGGCACAGCACACACGCATTCCGTGTTTAAACCCGCATTTTTAATTAATTTATTTTTGCCATTAATTTTAATTTTTTTCAAGTTTTTAAAATTGTTTCCTAGGTTAAAAAATGCGTAGAATTTAATGGTGAAGTCCATTTTCCATAAAAATGAGTTTTAATTATTAATTTTTTTTTCCACTCATTTTTTCTATTAATTGTGTGCTTACATGTTTGTACCTTATTTTTTATGCTTTTTTGAAATTTTAAATTTATTTCCTAGGTTTCAATACGTGTAGAATTTGATGGTGTAAGCCAAATTTTTTAAAACTCAACGGTTCATTTTTAATACTGAAATTTGACATTTTTTTCACTTAAATTTCTACAGCTTAATTTCATTATTTTTTGACATTTTAAATTTATTTCCCACACTTTAAGACATGAGTAAAATGATGGTAATAACCATTTTGCATAAAACCCAAAGACTGTTATTGAATACTGTGTTGGACATGTTTTTTTTAATGTTTTTTTGATTGGTTTTTACCGGCTGGATTTTAATCATTTTTCAAAATTTTAAATTAATTTCCTACATTTAAAGATGTGTAGAATTGACTGGTGAATTTCAATTTCCATAAAAATACAAGCTTCAATTATAATACGTGAGTGTACCCCGTTTCTTGCATAATTTGTACTGTATACAAATTGTATTTGAATGCAAAATGGATACAGCCATCAATTTTATAACATTTCAAAGTGTAGGAAATGAGCTTAAAATTCCAAAAAATAAGGGTAATTAAGCGTGTAAGAATTAATTCAAAAAATATGTCCAACACAGTATTCAATAACAATCTTTGGTTTTTATGCAAAATTATTGTTACCATCATTTTGAACATGTCTGAAAGTGTAGGAAACAAATTTAAACTGTCAAAAAATAATGAAAATTAAGCTGTTAAAAATCAATTGAAAAATATGACTAATCACAGTATTCAGAATGAACCATTGAGTTTTATGGAAATTAAATATTACCACTAGAGGCCAAGGCGGCTGCGCCGCTGTCCTCCAAGACCCCCGAGTGCCAAAAGCCCCTAAGCCCCTTACCATCCATTAGGCTTATAACTATTTATCAACTGTTTAATTAGCAACCCATCCCTCTGCCAATCCAGATGACAAAATATGTCACAACAGAACCACCAGCTCAACAACATACAATGAAACAACAACAACCAACCACATGCCTACACTCTGCTCATATAATTGGCTATATTATCACAGCATTCTAAAATTCATGAAAGATTAATTAGATTAGATGGCACTATAACTTCAACTCTACTAATTAAAAGTTGTACAAAAATGTCAAAAGAATAATGACATTATAAGGCCATATAAAAATTAATTATACTAAATGGTGATGTAACCTAATCTCTACTATTTGAATGTTCTACAAAAACTTCAAAAAACTAACTACATTAAATGGTGATTTAACCCACAACCACCTCAAGGCAACTTCACATTTTCACAAATTGATATTCATGAATATAGTTGATTAGCTGTAAGCCTCACTACCACGATTACAATCACTCAAGCTGTTCCTCACGAACAAGTCAACTAAAATCTCCACATAGACCATATAATCTCTTAGAGAAAAAGGCCATTTAAGCCTACCCACAATCATCTGTCACCCTGTTGAGTGCGGGTGTCACTTCCTGTTATCGTAGATAACATTATTCAGTTGAGACATTGCCACACATCACAAAACAAATAGACTCACTTATTTTGCCAATTTTGAATATGTTCCTGTGAACTACATTAACAATTCCATCCCTAATCTTTGGTCTTACGACAAGTAAATTTGCTACATTGGAGACTCTTGAGACAGCAACGTATAATTGACCGTGGGAAAAGACGTCCGTTTCAAGATAAACTCCCACCCTACTGAGGGTTTGTCCTTGGCTTTTGTTAACCGACATCGCATAAGCTGGTGCCACTGGAAATTGGTAACGGAAAAACGACAAGCCTGACCGACTATTCGACTTGTTGTGAAGTTTTACCCGTGGTAA